AAGAAGAAATAGGGATACAAACAAATGGACTACAAAAGCTATTCACAGAAATAATCCAAGAGAATTTCCCTAATTTAGCAAAAGGTAAAGATACTCAGATGTATGAGGCATACAGGACTCCAGCCACCTACAACCCAAACAGAGCTACACCCAGGCATATAATAATCAAAATTCCAGAAATCCAATATAAGAACAGAGTATTAAAAGCCATCAGAGAAAAGAAACAGATCTTTTACAAGGGAACACCCATCAGAATTACAGCAGACTTCTCGACACAAACCATCAAATCACAAAGAGCGTGGGGTCAAATAATTCAAGCTTTGAAAGATAATAACCTCCAGCCAAGATTGATATATCCTGCACAACTGTCCCTAGAAATTGATGGAAAAATAAGTTGCTTCCAGGATAAAGAGGAACTAGGGGAATTTGCAACCACCAATTCAACTCTACAGAGAATACTGCAGGATATTCTAAAAAAGAAAAATACCAAGATTCCAAAAACAGTGGCAGAGAGGCCACGATGAATGGAGCAGAAAGCGAAATGAAGAAGACAAACTGACAACAAATGACAGAAAAAGAGCTCAACAGAAATGAGGCAGAGAAAATCGGATGTTAGGAACAGCTATTTTGGAGAAAACAAGACATCATAATAGCTAGTGCTCATTTATTATCATCTTGTTTTGAAGTCCCATCAAACTTGTATTCTTCTGTCTCCATCGGTCTTAAAAGGTTATATCTTATTGGATTTTATTATATATGATAATATAAGCAAAAACTTTTATAGACAAGGAGATTATACAGAAACCATGGTTCATTTTCTGTTAATTGGTTCTAAATACACTGTAGTAATGTCATTCTCTTGAATGGTTTTATATGTTTGATATGTTTGGTGCTACAGCATCCGAAGTTATACTCAAAAATTTCAAGGAAAGAGACACTATGGTAATTATTTTTATGTCAGGATATCTTGCTTAAATGGTTATGTTTTGACCTGTGCTGTTCTGTTGTTATGCCCTCTTTTATCTGAATCCCCTTGTTTTTAAAAATTATTTACTTTTTTCTTTTCATCTTTTTAATTAAGGGAAAAATAAATAAAAAATAGCAGGATACATTATAGTAACCTACATTGATTTCCTATTAACTTGATTTGAAACCCTGTATTGCCCTCACCATCTTGTTTTGACTGATTTTCCCCTATTCTGCTTTGCTTGATAGTACCAAGTTCGAAAGTATAGGCAAAACTGTGAAGACAATAAGATTCATTATGACGCCCATTTCCGGTTGACTGTTATCTTCTTTTAAAGTCCTGTAATGTCTCTAATGCTTTGGTTTTATTCTTTACTGTTTTGTTCAATTTTATTATAACTGGCAATTCTTAAAATAGCAAGAGGCAGTATGGTAACCATTGTTGATCACCTGGCATTTTGTTTTTACATTATGTACTATGTCCATCCTTTTGATTTGACTGACTCTGTTCTGATATGTCACATTTGGTTTTACTCTCTTCAAAAAAAGTAATAAGAACTGTGGGAGTAATAAAACCCAAAATGTGTAATTGTCATTGTATAAAAGAAAATAAAAGAAAGTGCTCTAAAGGTTATAACTGCATATATGTTTAAGTGTATAAGATAGATAACCATATTACTGAGTTTTTTTGGATCACTGAACAAAACTGATTGCACTCTCACTGTTTGAAAGTCCACTTTATATGCTTCAATTTTGTAACTTGAACAACTATTTCTAAGATGAGAATATGGAATCTATTAACTAGTGATTTCTTACTGTTTATTTTTTAAATTTTGTATTACTTGTACCCTTTTTCTGTTTTTTTCTTTTTCTCCTTAAATTAAAAAAAAAAAAAAAAAAAGATTCTTTCCCCGTGCAATTTTCATTTCTGCCCTTATGTTCTGAAAACTTTAGTTTTGTTAGTCTCAAGGAGCAACAAGAGGCTTGATTTTTCTCTTCAACTGTAAGAATTCCCTGAGCTTAGCCTGTTCTCTTTCTTTGTGCTATAGTGTGAAAAGTTTTTCAAGGCATTGAGAGAGGACAATCATAGGCTTACTTCATTTTTTTCTTGTCTTTCAAGGACTACTGCCTTCTGTGGTCAGATGTCCAGTATCTCTCAAACCATTGCCCTTCAGATAGGTGGCTAACTCCAAGTTAAGAATGCTTGGTCAGAGTGGAAGAAAGTAATAAATTATATTTAACAAAAGCACCAAGACAATCCAGTGAAGAATTATCTTTGCATGAAATTATACAGGAATAACTGTTGAAGCACAAAAGGAAGTATCTGTTGTTAATCTTCTGTAAATTATAAAAATAACTTAGAAGGATTGTAGGCCTAGTTATGAAATAAAATGACAAATATAGGATATAAAATGACAAATTTCTAGTATGCAATATAGGAGAAACTTCTTGTGTCTGAGACTAGGCAGATTTCTTAAATACAAAATTAAAACTATGATCTTTTTAGAAAATAAATAGAGCTTCTTCAAAATCTAAAACTTCTACCCTGTTAAAAATACTATTAAAAGAATGAAGACATGGGACCAACTGAAAAAATATTTTCACATCACATTTCTGATAAAGAACTTAGATGCAAGATGGGGTTGGAGAAAAAATCAAGATACATCATGTACAGGTACAAATTTCATAAGATGAATGTTATCATTATGTATATCTAAAATATACCAATAAAATCAATAAATTTTTTAAAAGAACTTTCATGCAGAAAGTTTAAGATTTTCAAAATTTTATAGTGAGAAAATAACCCAACCAACAAATTGGATAATAGAAAAATGCATGTGAAATATATATGGTAAAAAGCACATAAAGAGATGCTCAGTATTATTAATTAGAGAAATACAAATCAACATAAAACAGGACACCACTACACAGTGCAAAAGAATTTCCAAGATTCAATCCTGACAATACCAAGTACTTACAAGAATAGAAAGCAGTGAGGACTCTCTTATATTTCAGATGAGGGTAAAATCTGGTACTGTTAGTCTGAAAAATCAGTTTAGCTGTCTCTTATAAAAGTAAATATACATTTATTATAGAGTCAGCAACACAGTTTGCTAGGTATTTAATCCCAATCAATGAACTCAAAAGTCAAAGCATGTATACAATAACTCTATTCAGAAAAGCCCCAAACTGTAAACAACTCAGACTTCCTATAGCTATCAAAGGAAAAAAAATAAACTTCTTGCAGAGTCCAGATAATAAAAAGTATGCTCAGCTATAGCAAACTACTGACACACTAAAAAACAAGGACGAATCTTAAATGCAACCTGCTGAGTGAAAGAAGTCATTCCCAAGGCCTAAATGTATTATTCTATTTATATAGCATCATATTACTAATTGTCTGGTCTCTAGGACAAAATACTTGGCACCTTCAGCTTGAAAGAAGAAGTTTATTTTGGCTAATGGTTCCGGAATCCACGATAGCTGGTTTCAGGCAGAAGTGGCATGACAGAAAGGCATGGTGAAGGAAAGCTGCTCCACCTAAGACAGCTGGAAGCCGAGTGAGAGAAGAGGAGGAGCCAGGAGCAGGAGCACAGCCTTCCAGCCACACACCCCGGGCCCTGCGTCTTCAGCCAGGCCTTTGCTCCCTCCTTGCACATTCAGCCATGAACTCAGCAAATAGATTAATCCACTGACGGATGTAGCTCCCCTATTATCCTGTTATCTACCCAAAGTCCCAGCTCTGAACACATAAGACTTTGGAAGACATTTTAGATTTAAACCGCAACAGATATTCTTGAATAGATAAAATTATAGAAATGAAATGCAAATCAGTGTTTGCAAACAGTAGAGGGTTCAGGGAAAGCACTGGCTACAAAGTGGAAACAAAGGAGTTCTGAGAGATCATTGGACTGTTTTGGCCTGGATTATGCTGTTGTCATTTGTCAAAACTCATCAAAGAGGGGGAGTTTCAGTTAGGGTAAATTTAAAAAGTGATTAGGATGCTGTAATATTCAGTAAAAGTGTGACATATGAAATTCACTCTATTATATTGCAAATATATAATAAACTGAATACATCTGAAAAGAAGGGCTAGAAGTTAGCTTAGACGAATGAATCACTGGCTAAAATAAAATGCAATGGGCAACTTTTCATTTGGGCTTTTGTCATGTACAATTTTCTAAGTTTTTTAAAACCAATTAAAAAAGAAATATAAAAATTAAACAGGTTTTATTTTTAAGTGGATTTTGTTTTGTCAAAATGCCAAGGATTTGTAGTCAGCTTCATCAATTATAACTCTTAAAATAACTATAGAAATAAAGAAAAACACTTAGTAATTTTTCAGAAATCTTCTCCCCCTTTCAGATTTACTGAAAGTATTTTTAAAAGTTTGGCACAGTAAAAAAGTAGCAAGGCCCTTGTCTTGGCTCTAGAGAGCAAAATCCCCCAGGAAACTAAGCAAGTTGCAGAAGGCCGTTTAATTCAAATCCAAATTACATCTGGAGTTCTCTCAGAATATCTACATGAATCTTCCACTATTAATTATGATCATAAGTAGTATAAGGAAGAGAAATGAAAGACAATGTACGCTCTCAGAAGGGAAAATTTTAACTTTCTCTGAGGACTCATGAAAGAATGGGTGTGAGAGTTAAGTATTTAAAAATGTAAGTGGAAGTTTGCTGGGTGAGATAGAGGACAGCATTTCAGATGGTAACAGTAGTGTACACTAAAACACGGAAGTGCGAGAGGTCACAGTGTATGCTCGTAAAGCATTAACAACTGGGAAGTTGGTTCAGTTATTAAGAAAGAATTCAAGCATAGAAACAGAGAAATTAAATGAGTACTTCATCAACATAATTATTGAATAATTATTAATCAACATAATAATTATTCAAGGAGATGTTATCAATAAGATAGCTTTCCACATGGATTTCAAGTGAAGTGTTAAAGCAAAACTTAAAGAACTTCCGGTTTAATAGATCAGAAATTAGGATTATGGGGAAATAAAGTATATATGAGAAAAAGTAATGTACCTTAAGGTATCTAGCAGCTTCGGGATTAAACATAGGTATTTTGATATAATGAAAAAACAGTGTTGCAATTCTTTTTCTGAGTCCTTCAAGGTTCTCAGGTTTGACTCCTCTCATCATAAGGTCAACTTCTCTGTCAACCAATTCTAGGATTTCCTGGGTCAGTTCACATTCATGTTCCTAGACAAAGCAAAATAGAATAAAAATTATTGACTTCACTTTTGAAATTACCACCCAAACAGACCCAGAAACTATATTCCAGGAGAAATGAAACAGTGCTAACAGGGATATAAACTGGTAGAAATAATTTGGAGACAATAGCATTCTCTAATATTAGTTAATATGCATAACCTATGACCCAGAATTTCATTTGTATGTGCCCTAGAGTGTGCAAGTGGAGCTATTTTCATAGTAGCTAAACATTTCACTGTATCCATTAAAAACTGATCACATAAATAAATTATAAGCTATTCATTTGGTAGAATATTACCCAAGGTGTAAAACTTAATGAACTAGCCAGATGTAGTGGAGTAATTTCAGCACTCTGGGAGAGGCACGAGGAATGCAAGTTTGAACCCAGCCAGGGCAATTTATAGTGAGACATTGTTTTCAAAAACAAAAATAACCAGTTCTGTTGGCACACACCTGTAATTCCAGTACTTGGGAAGCTGAAGGAGGAGGATCACTGCAAGACTGAAGCCACCATAAACTACATAGTGAGTGGAGGCCAACCTGAGCCACATAGTGAGACTTGGTCTCAAAAAATAAATAAATGCAAAGGGTTGATAATGTACCTCAAGGCAGAGTTTCCGGGTTCAATCCCCAGTTCCACATAAGAAGAACTATATAGCTACATACTGATAGCATTTTTTAAATATTACACAGTAAATTTGAAAAAATAAGCAAGGCATAAAATAATACAGTGCTACAATTTCATTAAATACAATTCAAAATTAAGTAACGCTGAGTGATATTATTTAGAGACTCACACAGAGGCAATAAAACTATGGAGGAAAATGAACAAAATGACGCCCATGAAAGTTAGCAGGGTTGTTACCTCTCATAGGTGAGACAAAAGCCTTGCCAAGGAGAGAAAGGGGAAGGAAATGTTCTCATTGACCTGTTTGGTATTTTACGAGTGTTCATTGGAGTTCATAATAATTTTTAATGAAGTGATAAAAAATGAGCATGGCTGACTAAGAAAGCATCTGGTAGGAGTTAAGGGATTGAGGTAGTACAGGTATTGATTTACTAGTAGTAAAACACAAGTCCCCCTGACTTTCCGAAGGAGAAGCAGAGGGTGTTCAGTTTGACTGAGTCAGAAGGTAGTGGGTGACTACAGAACAAGGCTCTTCCATACTTTTTAGCTTGGTAAAGTTAGCACAAGTCTGCTTCAGTGGTCCCTTGCCTTTGGGGAATTTGAGAAGGATGTGTAGATTTTAACATTTCCATCAAGCTTAAAGATCCAAATTAACTGCTCCCAAATGAGGAATAGACAGCATTCTCATCTGTTCTTGTATCATTCACAATCTTTCTTTATTCTCTCAGTCTTTCTAATGTGTACTCAGGTTAACATGCACTACTCTAACTGCCACCAGAATAATATCTATTATTTTCTGAGAGCATCCTACTTAGAAAGCACAGTGATTAATTTTATACATAATGAAACTGATTTACAGAAATATTAAGTTATTTACTTAAGGTTGTATAGTCATAAATGCATAGAGCCAGACTTGGAGTTATGCTTAAATCCTTTATCAAAATTATTATATGAAGGCAAATATAAGTACCTTGGTTAAATTATCTATGTGCATGGATCATCTTTTGAGACCATCATTGGCTTTTTTAAATTATCTAGTTGTTTGTCCTATTGATGTTTGCACTCTCTTTTAACCTAACTGAGCTTTTTATTTTCCTCTGCAAACAACATGTTTATTTCCTAGCTCTGCACCTATTGTTTCTTCCTCTCTGAGACTTCCTCTGTTAAGGTTAGTGGCAACAAAACAGCTTTGAAAAAGTAGTCTAGAACAAAAAGCCGTCAGTCAGTGCCTCTGTTTTCAAGACTGAAATGCAAAATATCTATAAAAACTTGTCCCCTGATAATAACTGTTTACCTAACTATTTAATTTGTTTTAAAAGACTTGCAGTTGGCTGTAGATGATACATATCTATAATCCCAGTACTTGGAACTGCAACACAAGGATCATTGCAAGTTCCAAGGCAGTCTTGACTGACTACACAGTAAACTCAAGGCCAGCCTGAACTACATAGAAAGACCTGGTCTCAAAACAAACAAAAAACACAAAAATAACATTTACATATTTTAGTCTTGTTTTTCTCAACAGAATGAGGTTTTTTTGGTAGTTAAGGGCAAAGGATATATCTGGGGTGTCGGAGAGTAACACTTATAATCATGCAATTTACTTAGATGGACCAAATATGGCTTTTATTCCCCCAGTTATTTTAGTGAACCACTCGCTATCATTAGGATGTCTATGCTATATATGCCCTGGCAATTTGGGTCCTATTGATGATCCAAACTAACAGATCACACAGTTACCTTATCCACTGTTCATGTAAAAATTTTAGTTACTACAAATGATCCTTTAGAAACAATTGATATATCAATCACAAACTGGAGAGCAGCAGTCAAGTATCTTATTATCTTCAGGAACTCAAAAGCATAATTCAGAAACCAAGTATCTTCAGCTGAACTGCTCATTTAATTAATTTATATTGACATTAGTATATATATATTATTACCTTCAAATTGAGCTAAAAAAGCAAGAGGATTGTTATGGTTTGTATCTGGGTGGCTCCTAAGGCCTCAAGCTCTGGTAGGGGAGGCTTTTGGGGGAAGTGATTGGAAAATGGATGTGTGATATTCAACACTGAATCAGTCCCCCGGTGAGTTTATAGGCGGTGTAAGGTTGGGAGGTAAAGTCTAGTGGGAAGAGGTGGGTCACCACGGGTGTGGCTGGAGACACACATATTCCTCTTCCTCCCTTGATTGCTGCTGCTTCCCGGCCGACCTTGCTGCTGTGAACTCTTTCTCTTCGGCCCTGCTGCCCTGCCTGGAGCCAGCTAGCTCTGAATTGAAACTTGGACAAACTGTAAGCCAAAATAAACCTCTCCTCCCTTAACTTTGGGGGATGGGCATTTTGTCCTAGCAATGAGAAAATAACTAAGACAGGCACCACTGGTTCTAACAATACTGCAGTTTTCTCCTTTAAGAATATTAAAAACATACACATTGCAGCGAATGGCTAGGGATGCTTCCCAGATTGTCTGCATATCTCAGATGAAGCAGTCTCCCTGTTGCACATTGTGGCACCTGACAGCTCTCCACAGAGCCTCTCTCTGGGGTTACACATCACTGAAAAGACCATCTTGACCAAATTGCCTCATCAAAGGTCATGCTTTTTTCTCGGAGCATCCGGAATCAAATGACTAATCAATGTAGAGGAATAAAGGTCCAGGACCCTATCAGAGTTAGGAGTAGGTAGAAACAGAAAATAAATGGAGTGCTGGCCCCAGTCCAGCTCATAATCTATACACTGGATTCACAGAGACATCAAGTGCTCATTTCTCTGGTCCTTGGATTAGTAACTGGAATAGAATAGTTATTAGCTGACACAGACTCTGCACTCTTAATTTCTTGACCTGTAGGTTCAAAGCTAACCTTGATGCAAAAGACGATGTGGAAGGCTCTGAAACTGCCCGGTCCTAAGGACAAAGGAGATGGAAGCACAAACCTGCTCCATGGAAATATCAGTTTTAGGGATTCTAGTTTCTAGAAAGAAAAATGCTTCTAATGGAGGACACAGCAAGAGTCCTTTTATACTTAGGTTCTCTGGGCCAAGAGACCTGGAGTGAATTGACCCTAATCTTCCAACAGCTAGGGTTGTTATTACTCAGTGGGGCAGGGAAGAATGTGCTTGGCACTCAGGCACTGGACGTTTCTTGATACACTCTCACTTGGTTTTTACAACAGCCCCAGCCTGAGAAGAACAGTGACCTACAGAGTGCTGAAGGGATGAGTCCTTCCTAAACGGCAGGTCATCCAGAACAGTAAAGGTGCTGGTTGAGGGTGAAGGAAATATAAAATGGATGGCAGAGCAAAGGAATATTTTCTGTGGCCAAAGCCAATGACTACAATAGGAACTGTAGTTTTTGTCATTAACCTTACTCCCAAAAAATTTCTCCAGGAAAAACAGCCTATCCAAAGCAGAGATATTGCTCCCAAAACTTGTGGATCCTAAGAAGCAGATGAGTTCAAAAAGCAGTATGTGTGATGTGCACTGTATCCAAACTGGAAGCTCCCATTCTCCGGAAATACTTAATGAGCTCCTGTCTGAGAATTGCTGAGGAAGACAGATGCCTTATCCAAAATCACACTTCTTTGCCAACGTCAGCTCACATTCAATAGAAGCTCCATGTGGTTTAGCCCTGTGGCATAATCCCCAGTATCAAAAAATAAATTTAAAAAAAAAGACTCCATTTGGGAGCAGAACACCTTCTCGATCCCTTTCCTCAACTCAGGACAACTCTCAAGGCAATTCTCTGTCCCTGTCCAGGTGCAGAGTTTTCATTTGGCTGGCTAAAGTCATTGCTGAGGCTCCACTGTGAATTTCTCCTTCTGCTTATTGTGCTGCCTGATAGGCGTTATCCTGAGAGCACTGTCCAGTGAAATTCCTGAACAGAAAGCACAGTTTTAGGGTCTCTTTCCTTAGGAAACTTGACCTGGGTCTGATATCCACTAATTATTCAAAGCAGGCTTAAAAACACAGAAAATCGAAAATGGGTGAGAAAAACAAATACAAAACGTTTACCTGTTTTAACACTGCTAAAATTAGTTCTTTATTGAAAAATGCCCAAAATGTACATAATGTATTGCTGTCTTACTGAAATAATTACTATTGTCCTTCTGTATATCTGCATATATTTTCATATATTGCATAAAGCCACATCTGCATATTAAAATATTTATTATGCTGTTTACATTTTATTATTTTTCATATTATCTTGAATGTTTTCAGATAAATATGAATTCATAAACCTAATTTTCCCAAACTAAACAATATGAATTGTCTATATGAAAAATGTATAATCACATTAATATTTATAATTACATAATGAAAAAATATTTTGCTTATTTCAATATTCAACTAATTTTTTATTGATAGTGAAACTCTACCCCAACTCTAAGAGAAACTTAACATACCTTCACAGTGTGCTTAAGTGTTAAAAGTATATCCAATCGCTCATCTTGAGAGATATTTTGTAGCTTGATGCATTTATAGATGTTTTGCAACTCTCTGGCTCTGATTGTGAATTGTGTATCCATCTCAACTATTTTGCCATCAAATCTTCTCCACACCTTTGGACTTGAACACTTGAAAATAATGTTTATAATTATACTTAGCTAAAGGCTTAAAATAACCATAATATTCCTTTGACAGATGTTTACTTCTGTGTTATTTATGACTAAAACTTAAAATTAATCAAAGAATTTATAGAACACAAAAAATAAAACATTTTTAGGGAAAAAAAGAGCTGTTCAGTCTGCAGAAGAAGAAACACTTCTAAAGTATTCAGAATTTGTAACTAATTTATACTGATATGTTGAATGGTTTAATAGGTACATAAATTGCTTGATAGCCCCATGATGTGGGAGGGGCATATATATTTGGTTCAGTTATACTGAGGGTGTATAGTGTGTTTTAATCATGCCTTTTCTATTAAACATAACATTTGCGAAGAAGTTACAACTCTTGATGGTTTCAAAAAAGAACTGTGAGTTATAGTTTAGTATTCACTATAGAAAGGAATTTGTAAAGAATTCAAAATGCTTCATCAGGCAGTTATCCTTCAGAAAAATGCTATACACAGTCATCCTTCTCCATTTATAGGTTCTGAATCCTCACATTCAACCAACCACAGGTCAAAAATATTGTTTTTAAGATTGCATTGTATTGCATCAGTATATGAACATGTACAGACTTATTTTTCTTGTGGTGATTTCCAAAACAATGTAATATAACAAATACTTTACTCTTATTTTTATTGTATTAGATATTATAAGTAATCTAGAAATGATTTAAAGTATATGGGAAGATGTACATAGATTATCAGCGAATGCTTTGCTATTTTATATAACAGACTTGGGCAAATGAGTTTTGCTATCCTGTGGATCCTGGAACCAACCCCTGTGCCTATGAGGAACTGTTGTATTTTATTTTAGCAGTGTTGTGATGTTCACCACCCTAATGATGGCTAACATTCTCACTATCTCCACATTTGACTTGATAACCTCCTAGTCTAGCCCACCTCCTCAACTGAGGACCAGCGATGGAGTTCACTTGTCCCAGAGCTGATCTTAGGACTCCCAGGCTAAGAAATCAGAGCCCAGCAAATAGGATGACAAATAAGTCCTCTACAGACTAGAGGACACTAATGTAGTCCTGAGTGATATACTTCTGTGGATGCTACTATTTCAGTTCCCTCTAGAAGATGCAGCCACCTAGAAATGTCACAGTGATAACGTACTGTTTATTTGTTCTTCTACTTTAGGGTAAAATGCAGTTCAGTTGCCCTGATTATAATCTTTCAGAAACAAGGCTATGTTGATTACAACTGTTAGCTGTTGGCTGTTCAAATATTGGATACTTTCAAAGGTTAATTGGTAATTATTTTGAGATTTTTGTAACCCAACTTATGCCATATTTGTAACCATTTAAATCTGAGCTGAGAGATAATTTAAAATTGAAATAGAAGCTCTATGTATTGGAACAAATCATTAAGAATGTAGACTACTAAATGGAGGCATAAAATTACATTTAAAATGGCAGTATTGTAAAGAACTTTTTAGTTATAACAATTAGCAATTTATTGTGAAGTTTTTACATTTCATATTAGCAAAGTTACATTCAAACTATGGAGCTACCTCTTTTAAAAAACTATATTTGGTACATTTTTAGTACAGTGCCATTAAATTCAGGTCAAAGCAAAAATGAATGTTGTTTAGATAGAAACCTTTATTATGAAAATTTAGATTCTCACTGCTAAGTTTTAATTCAGAAAATGAGAAGTGCAGTTCATAATTTGTATTGTTAGACTATAAATTTAATAGGAAGATGTTAATTAGCAGACTGATAAAGTAAATTGATTAAGAATTGTAAAATGTAAATAGGTCAGTAATAAAATGTCATATTATTTAGCTATAATCACAGAACTAATGTAACTTTACATGGATATATCCTTGTTTTGGGTAATTCTCAGAGTGCTACTGGCATACAATATTGTCTCAAAACTATTTGCAAAACTTTTAAGGAATACGGAAGCTGAGGCTTTTCATATTACAATATTTTAGAGTCTAACTAACATCTTATCTTTGCATGCAGTTGTAATCATAGTGACTTTTTTAAATGTAATTTTCTTCCTACCAGTAATGTGGACAATACCTTTTGCTCTGCACACTGAGTTTTTCCATTTGTAATAATATTTATATTGATGTTTTTATGAAATGTCTACTTTATACTACGTTTTTTCAGTTGATGCAAATTGACTTTTGGAGGCTTAAAATATATTGATTTGATTCTACCTTCTCTCCAAATTTCTAGTCCAAAGAATTATACCATAATATGATAATATCTAGGGTTTTTCTAAATATATTCTATATCCACATTTTCCCTATTCTTTAATTTTGAATTCAATACTGCCTTTTCCATGAAAATTCTTCTATTACTGTGTTGGACCAATGACATCACTTGTATCTGAAATCCTATCACATTACAAACACACAAATCTGTAGGGTCTCTTTTTCAGTTACCTAGGGCAGTGAAACTCATATATGAATTGTTCTATGATTATTTTATGATTAATTCTGCTTGCCCCAAAACATAACAAATAAATTTCTCATATAATTCTGTATATTTCAGGATACCTGGAGTATTGATTTGTTCATTTAACAAATATTTACTATTTAGTCATATATAGTTGTGTACTAGGCACTGAATAGATAAAATACTGTCCTGACTTCAAGAGCTCTCAAATCTCATGACATGTAAAGATAAGAAAGCAAGTAATTAAGGAAAGAGTGAGTATGGCTAATGATTGTCAACAACTAGTTATTTATTGGTGGCTATAAAATAGTATCTGGATGAAAGCTGAAAAATAACTAGGAGTTAGTCAGGGTAAAGAAAACTGAGTGAAACAAAGAGAACTAGATTTGAAGTTTGAGTTCCCTAGAGCTGGAATGGGAAATATATATATAATCTGTTTGGTGTTTTAGACTTAGACATATTTCTGCCAACTCTAATAACTTGGTTTTCAAGTATAAGCTTCTTTGATTTCAGACCTGAAAGTGTTTTCTACTCTGACTCAGGAAAATGTCAACTTCATTTATTTCTCTTTCCTGTTTTTTTGTTTTTGTTTTTGTTTTCGCTTTCAGTGCTTGGTTATAATAAGAGATGGACAACAATCATGTTTTTAAGATGCTTCAAAAAGTAAGAGTGTAATAAATTCCATTTAGCTGGCAACAAATAAGACACAGCACAGACTCTGGAAGAGAGAAACAGAAGAACAGCAGGGAGACACACTTCAGAAAAGGCAAGGCAGAAGGATAACAAAGACCTTGAGAGCAGCAGGCCTCTAAAAAGAGGAGAAATGCCTGCCCTGTGAGCCTGGGGCTTTTCTTCCTCCTAAATTAATTCTCAAGTCCCTGAGGGCATAAATCAAACATAATGTTAAGCCTCCCAAAGCACTTGGCCAAGATCGCGTTTTGTTCTACACAGCACAGGGGTTCTGTTCATCCAGAGACAGCCCTGTTTAATGCACTTCCCAGAAGAAGTAGAAGCATTTTTCATCCCATTTAGCTGTTGGTCACCTGAGTGCAGAGAAAAAGCATTAAAATTGACACAGTTAACATGAACTGCAGTTTCTTAAGCTTATGATTTGGAGAAGTGGAGTACAAATCAAAGAGAATGAAAGGAAAAAGAAGCCTGCATTCTAGGGAAAAGCTCTCACAAAAAACCCAAATATCAATACATGAGTTTGAGTAAACAGTACCCAAGACCTTAGATACCAGCTGATAATTTTTCATTCAAATTTTTAGCCTGAATTTCTTTATCTCATGCAACCTGTGAGTATTTAATATTTGATAACTTGTGAACCTCAACCTTTGATGTGTAAAATTACAAATTATTTTATGCTTCAAAAAAACTTTAGATGGAGCAAATTTTTATTAATCATGAGAATATAGTATATAAAAGCCATAATAGTTATTCATTTGGTTTCTTGGCTGAACTAATTTTAAGTCTTATCATTCATTATTCAGAGAAATTTTATAGCCAGACCAAGAAGACAAACACGAAATACTGGTTCAATGACCACATAGCATTTAAGCTCAATGAATTTAAACTAAAATGCAAACATAAAATTTATTCTCTAAAGTTATTTCCAAACTGTAGGAAAGTAAATATTTCTCTTTAAATAACCATATATAATGGCATTAAATGTAGATGTAATAACCATATATTATGGCATTAAATGTAGATGTAAATTTTTTTTTTTTTTTTTTTTTTTTTTTTGGTACCAGGTATCAAACTCATGACCTCCTGTTTGCCAAACAGGCACTTACATAGCTGAGCTAAACCCCCAGGCCTATATATAAAATTTAGATGCAGATGTTAAATATTAAATTTATGTTATAGTTATTTGTTAGTTTTGACAATTGTAAAAGCTATGTATATAGATTCAGCGATTAATTGTAAGTCTTTTTTTCTTAGAATCAAACATAAAACCTGTATGATAAGAAGTAACTTCAATTAAAATTTATGAAACCAATATTGACTTCTCCTGAATAACAGAGACAGAACCAAGCATAAAAGATGGGCATCGATGGAAGATAAAGCAACTTGCTAATGGAATGAATTTAGTTTGAAATATGACTTCAAACATGATGAATTTCATGGCTTTCCTATGATAGATTCATCTTTCCAAGATTTAAAGTATTAAGAGATTTTGAATGATACCATCTGTATCACATAATTTCTTGATGATATCTGGAATATAAAACTATTCAACATTGCTTCTGTTCCTTATTTTTCTCTCCTTTCTTCCTCCACAAGCATATAGCAGTACTTTGAAAGATAAGGATAGAGATACAAAACATTCCTCTTGCTTTAAGAAGTTCAGAATCTAGGATTTAAACATTTAATAGAGACAACTTAAAAATGAGCAATATGTACAAAAAAAGAGATTTAAAAAAGGTCCCTGTGAGCACATAGTTCAAGCTAGAGTACAGGGATCTGTAGGTAACCCCTAGAAAAAGAGCCATCTGACCTTTCTCTAAAATGTGAGAGGCTGGCTACTAGGGAAGCGGAGAAAGAATGTTTCATGTAGAGACAATTCCAGATACAAAAGCATCAATGGTACGTGGTGTTCTGGGGACAGGAGAAAAACTGAGCACCCCAGGAGCAATAAGCATGCAGTATGTAAGAAAAGATGGTACAAACAGCAATGGGATGAAAGAGGGGTGCAGAGAACAGATGATGAAAATCACTATTCTTTCAGGGCAGTAGGCAGAGACAGGATCAGAAGTGTATTTAATGAGTCCTCTATTGCAGTTGTATGGATGACAGAAGAGGAAACTGGTCAGTAAAATTTGAGACAATAGTTCAATACAGACATATAAAATAATACAAATGGGAAGAAAATCTAGATTCCATTAAATGAATGCTAATCTCACACATGTAAGATAAGAAAGGGCAACATCTGTCTCATGACATTCTCACAGGGAAAACTGAGAGACAACAGAAATTCCCTACAGCAGATTCTCAAAAGCATCTTCCCTTCCTTGTCTTCCAGAGAATCACAGGGCATTCCCAACACACTCAAATAAGCTGTTGTTCACATTTGATACAGGTAAGATCTTCAGGATACCACAGCATAACGCTTTCTTTGCAATCAATGATACTAGTTTTGAAAAGGAAGAATTAAGGAAATATTTAAGCAAGAAAAAAAAGATTGGTGGGCAGATGGAAAATCAAGAATTAGGCCCAGGTTTCAGTCTAGAACAACTGAGTGGAAGATGGATACTCACAGAGATATGTTATATATGGGTGCTACACAGTAGGATCAGTGTGGAGGTGAAGAGGGCAAGAGATAGTGAGATGTATGACTTAAGTCGTCTTACTACCTCAAGGTATACTCTTGGGGTATCTAAAGCAATCACAGTAGGAAGGAAATTGAATTTAGTTTGGAAGCTTTTAAGGAACTGATGTGGAACTAGAATTGTAGCTAAAAACAAAGATAAACCACAGTGAAACAGCAGAGTATGTAAGTTAGATGCAAGAAGGACACACAAGGTATCAAAAAATGGTTTATAATAACAAATGTCCTCAAAGAGTAAGACACACAGAACTAGAATCATTAGAAGCTAGTACCATTGGGAACGGTATCCTTTTCTTTGGGCTGGATTGGCCTTTAATTGTTTGGAAAGATCAGGTTTATAAAAGGAAATGTGTTACTATGGAAACAGGCTATTCAATATCAAACAGGCAGTTTTGACCACAAAAGGGTAATTACGTTAGTTTTTCCTTTAATTGCATGTTTTCATGGCCTTCAATAATCATATATCTTTTTGGCTAGAAATTTCCAATCAGTTAATGGTGTGGTGAGTCAAAGCAGGAACACTAGGCTCTGGCCATTTTGCTCAGGTTGCTTACTATTGAGAGCAACTGGCCCCTGAAATTTTGTGATTTTAATACTCTGTATTTTATCCAAGTGTGCAGTTCATTTGATTCCTGTAGTCAGCCAAAGTCACAAAGAAAGTGTCTCCATCTTTTCTTTCATGGCCAAACACCTTTAGTTAACAGCATGTTAATTTCATGTTATTTATCAGTCTTTATTCTAGGCTACAGCTAAAATCTACAGCTATATTAGAAGAATAAATACATAAAATGTAAAGATATGTTATCAAAATGCTATACAAAATTCGTGTAAATGTTTTACACCATTAAGTTTCTCCTTTGGATCATTATTTCACATTGTTTAACTGAGGACATATTCATATTTCAAATAGTAGTTATTTCACTAACCTTATCCAAAAAAGCTTGTATTTCTTCTTCCTGGGTTGCCATACGAGCTATGTGTCTGTGTCTCCCAATGGAGGCAATTATCTGGGTTTCTTTTTCCAAAAGTTCGCATAAAGCAGCTTTCCTTTCTGCTCCAGTAAGATACTGGTTAATGCGTGCAAGTTCTTCTTTCCGCCAGACTAGAGCAAAAACATGAAAAAGTTGAGTTTTTAAAACCCTGTGTCTTTACAGAGCATTTTTACCATCACTTTCTAATAAAGGACATTTTATTTTTTAATCAGTTAGGCAAAATTATAAATAAATATAACCATTCATGTCATATACCTGATGTACAAAAGGAAAAACCAAATAGAATCTGAAAGACTTAACACAATAAAGATAGAATGAAACAAACAAAAGCAAAAAGAAACCAGTACCAATTATGTCAAATTATGCCTCCAAATATGCAAGCACACTCCCCAGCACCATATCACATGGGTTTTATGGCAGTCATGGACGGGCACTGCACAAATTCTCCCTTGGGGAAAGTATCTGTCAAAAGAAGTAGAGGCATCTGGCAGTTCTAGAAATTCAGATCTGCTGTGATGTTGGAACAGAAGCCGCACTCTGCCTACAAAATTCTCAGTGACTTAGAACTATGAGAAAATTAAGGTCTGGCTGGGTCTTTCCAACAGTGGACTATTCTGTTGTCTCTCATAACAGAGCTGACCTTTCAGCTGACTCAGACATCATCTGAGCTGTCTCACTTTGAGAGCCTCTAAACCCTATTTTTTTCTTTTACTCTTTTAACTTCCACAACTGTCAAACTTTATCTCAAGATTTTCCTTGGTTTCGCTTAGTCCTTTTTCTTTGCCACTTTTTTTCACCCTCTCATTTCTCTTTCTCACTTCTTAGTCCATCTCAGTGTTTGCCTCTCTGAGGACCTGGATGGCAGTTTTATTTAGAATTGTTGACTGTGGTTATTACCCTCAGTCACTTACTTGGTAGTTTCCATTTCTTCACAAAATCCTAAGCAATATCAGCAAATGTTGTAAAGTAATTGCATTTACTCTGTACTCAAATCAGTGTGCTATATAATTAAAATATTTATGGCATTTTAAAGCTTTGGTTACTATCAGTAAAGATGGTGTTCATCGGATATAACTTAAGACCAAATCATAATATGCCAAAAAACTCTCTCTAACTAAACACGTTATCAAAAGAGTAATACTTCCCAAAAATGCAAGGATGATTCAACATACATGAATCAATAAATGCAATACATCATATAAATAGAAGCAAGGACAAAAACCACATATCATCTCAGCAGAGGCAGAAAAGGCCTTGGACCAAATACATCCTTACATGATGAAACATGATTAAAATAAGTGTAGAAGGAGCTTATCTTGATCTGATAAAAGCCATTTATGACACGGCTATTACTAACATCATATTAAATGGGGGAAAACTGAAATATTTTCCTTGAAAATCAAGAACAAGACAAATATGTCCACTACCACCGTTCTTATTCAACATAATACTCAAAATTATAGCAAGAGCAATTAGTCAAAAAATAAAATAAAAAGGGAAGTATAGGAAAGTTAAGTAAACTTTAAGTCAAGTTACCTTATTCACAGATGGCATGATTTTATAGAGAAGACTCAAAACTCCATCAAAAGATTCTTAGAAATAATAACCAAATTCAGTAATAGACATACAAAACCGACACACAGTACTGCTCCTGCAGCTAATAACCCACCGAGGAAAACACTTAAGAAAAAATGTCATTCATAATAGCACCAAGAAAAATTAAATTCTTGAAAACTAACCTAAGGAAGAGAAAAACCTCCACAATGAAAACATCAGCACTCTGAGAAAAGAAATCAAAGAAGACATCAGAAAATGGCAAGATAACCCCTGTTTCTGGGTAGGCAGAAACAATGTACTTAAAATGATCATAGTCAGGGGCTGGGGATTTAGCTCAGAGGCTCAAGTGCTTGCCTAGAAAGTGTCGGGTCATGAGTTTGATCCCTAGTACAAAAAAAAAATCATAGTCCAAAATTAATATTCATATTTAATCCAATCCCAATCAAAATTCCAAAAGCCTTTTTCACAGAACTGGAAAAGATCCAGAATAGCAAAATCAATGCTGGGTAAAAAGATCAAAGTGTAAGCCATAACCATCTGGGACCTGAATTTATATTACAAAACCAGTATAATAAGAAAAAAATGATGCTTGCACAAAAACTGATATGAGAATCAATAGGACAGAATAAAGAACGCAGAAAAAAAATCACAAGGATATTCAACTACTTGATCTTTGACAAAGGGGCCAAAAGCATACACTACAAGAAAGAAAGATTTATTAATATGGTGTTGGGAAAACTTGCTATCCACATACAAAGATTGAACATAGACCCATATTTTCTCACCATGGCCTAAACTAAAATCAAAATAGATCAGAGAATCAAATGTTAAAACAGAAACAGTGTTCTGGAAGAGAAAATAGGTAAAATTCTTGATGGCCTAAGCATAAGAAGGAATTTATGAACTTTTTATGCAGGAAATAGTCTCAAGAATCAACAAAAAGGGAGCACATCAAATTAAAAGGCTTCCACACAGTGAAAGAAACAACCAACAGAGTGCAGACAGTATACAGAATTGGAGAACTTCTGCCAACAATTTCTCAGACAAAAAGACTCATATCTAAAAAAAAAAGTTAAAAAAATTGCTCCTCATATAGAATAAAGATTTAATAAAAACAGACAAGCAAGATGAGCAGACACTTCACGAGAGAAGTACAAATGACCAACAAATAAGTGAAGAAATGCTTGACATCGCTGGCCATTTGAACAGTGCAAATTACAACACTGAGGTCTCCTCTTGCCTCAGGAAGAATGGCTCAAATAAAAACAAATGCTGGAAAGTCTGTGGGGTACAGTGTTGGTGGGAATGCAAACTTGTACAGCCACTATGGAAATTGGTGTGGAGAGTCTTCAAAAATATGAAACTAGAAATTCTATTTAACCAACTATTCCTCTTCTTGGCATCCTCCTAAAAGGGTTAAAGAGATCATATTACGGAGATCTAATCATATTTGTAGCTGCACAGTTCCTAATAGCTAAATTTTGGAAGTGTCCTCTATGTCCATCAACACATGAATCAATAAAAATATGTAGTATTTACACATGATGGAGTACTACTCTACTAGAAAGAAAGGTAAGGAAACAGAGGCACCTTGAGACTGAAACATTGAGTGAAGTAAATCATACACACAAGCTTACACATGGCATCATTTTTCTGGTACTAGGAACCCAAAGTATAAATACAGAGTAAAATAATAGATAGTAATAGGAAGTAGGGAGACAGGTCATTCTCAAGGCGGAAGGGGACAAGAGAAGGACGGAAGAGAGGAGAGGCGAGGAGCAGGGGATGACCAAAGGAATTACTACGTTTCATGCACGCACGTCTATCAACTACACGTAAGGAGTGTAAGTATTATGTACTGCAAATATGTGCCAAAAAGGAAGGAGATCAAAGGTAAGTGTAGTGGGGAGGAAGAGGGAGAGAGGGTATGAAAAAGGGAACTAATCTGTATCGTGTTCGTGTACCAACTCCCTGCAAGAGATGCAAACATTACGTACTGCACAAATGTGCTAACACAATTTTTATTTGTAAAACAAAACAAGTGATACAGAATTTCAAAAAAATAGTAGGAAATTAACACTAATTAATATATTGTATATGATTATCTTAGAAGTAGTTTATAGGTTATACGATTTAGGCATAAAAAATGATCAAACAAGTAAAAAAGGAGTAAAAACTGTTCTTTTTAATTAACTTACAGAGAATAGTACTATGGTTATCTATGTTGTATGTATATACATGCACTCATATCTATGTATACCCACATACACATCATCTTTTCCCTTCTTTCTTTCCTCCCTTCCCATATGCCAGCTGTTCTTACATTTTGAGCATTTTCTTTACCTTTCATTTTCAAAATATCTGTTGTACATTTTGAATCTTATTACTCTTTCAGCTTTTTTTTATACTAGGGAGACAATATAATATCTACACATGTGAGTTTGAGTTATTTCACTTAATAAAAAGTTTTTTAAAGAATAATGCCATTTTATCAAAATCACCTGTATCATAAAGTATGGGTTGGTAAATCTAACCTCAAATTTAAGTGAATCAAAAATTCTGAGCTCAGATATGTGTGTGTGTGTGTGTGTGTGTGTGTGTGTGTGTGTGTGTTACATTAATTGGCATATATACTAAATTTGGGAAAGAAAATCTTTTGATCCCACATTTCAAAAATGTGGGATGTCAACCTGATGTACACTAACAGAAACAGAGGATTGGAAATAATCTTAGAAATTAAATTTCTCAATCCTACGCTTTTAAAGCAAATATCCCTCTCAGAAGTGTGGACAGGTATAATTTCACCACATTCTGTAAAGCTAGAACTAAGACCAGGGTGGGCAAATTACCCCTACCTTGCTCTGACACATCCCATCTCAAAGGGATGTGAGAATATAAAGTAGTACAATCACTTTGAAAATCAGTGTGGAAATTCCTCAAAACCCTGAAACTAGAAATTCCACTTGTCCCAGTTATTTCCATTCTCTGCATATACATTTGGCGATCTGAAGATGGCTGACACATCCCACTTATATTTTGTTTTTCCTGGACATGAAGAGCTGCATTTTTTAATTTGCACATCATTTGAAATCACTTCCTTTCCCATCAAGCCCAAACTCCTCTGTTTTACCACAAATTATCACAATTCATCTTAAAATGTGGCACACCTCATATAAAGATAGAAATTTCCACAGAATCTGCTACCTTCCTTCACCTAAGTTCTGACAAATGGTACAAGAAACATAAAAGGAGGAAGAAGAGAAAGACATTTGAAATAGGACTTGAAATCAGAAAGCAGTAGGATCCTTTATGGGTAAATCTTAAGGAATGTCTAAAAGAGACACTGCAGATACTATGAATAAATGGAAGTGAACTGCACAATTGTCCTTCAAACTATTGCTGGGTCATCTACGTGAGTGGACATTGATTGTAGTGAAAGATAGTCAATTTCAATTTAAGTGGCTAAAAGGGGAGGCTCTGGAGCTATTTGATAATTCATCATGCCTCAAGAAAGTCTTTGAAATACTTTTTGAAAAATGTCAAACACTTCAAA